AAACAAATTAAACTATATAGAGGTGAAAAGGCTGTTTACAAATTTATGGAATCTATGTTAAAAGAAGTTAAATATTGTAAAAATATTATGAAAACTCAATTTAATAAACCATTAAAAATGACCACTGATGATGAAGAAGAATTTAAAAAAGCTGATGAATGTCATATCTGTAACAAAAAATATACTAACAAAGATATTCGAGTTCGAGACCATTGTCATATCACTGGCAAATACAGAGGCTCGGCACATCAAGATTGTAATTTAAAACTTATAATATACTCTGATAAATTAAAGATCCCAGTAATATTTCACAATCTGCGGGGATACGATAGCCACTTTATTATGCAAGAAATCGGAGCTATTGTTAATAAGCATACATACAAAAACAAAAAAGGTGAAGAAACACAGTTGAATATAAATGCTATACCTAATAACATGGAAAAATATATGGCTTTCATGCTCGGTAACCATTTAACATTTCTTGATAGTTTTCAATTTATGAGCTCTAGTTTAGAAAAGCTTGTTAGTAACCTACCTAAAGAATCGTTTAAATACACCTATAAGCAGTTTCAAGGTGAAAAACTTAATTTAATGACTAAAAAAGGTATATACCCATATGATTATATAGATAGCTTTAAAAAGTTTGATGAGGGGTTGCCTTTAAAAAAAGACTTTTATAGTATTCTTACTGATGAGAATATATCAGATGAACAATACCATCATGCACAAAATGTTTGGAATACATTCAATCTCAAAAACATGGGTGAGTATCACGACTTGTATCTGAAATCAGACGTTTTGTTATTAGCTGATGTATTTGAAAACTTTCGAAAAACATGCTTAGAATACTATAACTTAGATCCATGTCATTATTTTACTAGTCCTGGTCTTTCATGGGATGCTATGCTTAAAATGACAGATATTAAATTAGAACTAATGACTAATATTGATATGTTTCAATTCATTGAAAAGGGTATGAGAGGAGGTGTTTCTTATATTTCTAACCGATATGGTAAGGCAAATAACAAATATATGAAAACATTTGATAAGAATAAACCCTCAAAATATATCATGTATTTAGATGCTAATAATCTTTATGGATGGGCTATGTCACAAAACTTACCTACTGGTAATTTCAAATGGTTAACTGAGAAACAGATTAACAACATAAACCTTGCTAAATATCAAGAAGATAGTAAAAAAGGTTTAATTTTAGAAGTTGATTTAGAATACCCTGAAGAACTACATAATTTACATAACGATTATCCTGTTGCACCAGAAAAAGTTAAAGTAACTAGTGATATGCTATCAAAATATTGTAAGACAATTGCTTCTAATTACAATATATCAACAGGCTTAGTAAGCAAACTGATCCCCACTTTAGGAAATAAAGAGAAGTATGTATTACATTATAGAAATCTTCAATTATACTTAGATCTTGGGTTAAAATTAACTAAAGTACATAGAGTACTTGAATTTAATCAATCTCCATGGTTGAAAAAATATATAGACTTTAATACTCAAAAAAGAACTAATGCAAAAAATTCTTTTGAAAAAGACTTCTTCAAATTAATGAATAATTCGGTATTTGGTAAGACGATGGAAAATTTACGTAAAAGAGTAGATGTTAGACTAGTAACTAATAAAGATAAATTATTAAAATTAGCTTCAAAACCTACTTATGTAAGTAGTAAAATCTTCAATGAGAACCTTGTGGCTGTGCATAAGATCAAAGAAACATTATTGTTAAATAGGCCTGCATATGTGGGAATGTGTATCTTAGATTTATCTAAAGTATTAATGTACGATTTTCATTACAATTATATCAAGAATAAATATGGTGATAAAGCTAAACTTCTTTTCACAGACACAGATAGTTTAACATATGAAATCGAAACTAAAGATGCCTATAAAGATTTTTGGGTTGATAAAGATAAATTTGATTTTAGTGATTACCCAGAATACTATAAATATCATGATAAAACTAATAAAAAAGTTATTGGTAAAATGAAAGATGAAGCTGCTGGAATAGTAGTTAAAGAATTTGTTGGTTTAAGAAGTAAGATGTATAGTTATATTAAAGACAATAATAAAGGAGATAAGAAAGCTAAAGGAATTAAGAAAAATATTATTAAAAACAAAATAAAACATAAAGACTATAAACAAACACTATTTGAAAATAAACAAATACATCATACAATGAAAACTATTAGAAGTGTAAACCATCAACTTAGTAGTTATGAAATTAATAAAGTATCACTTAGCTGTTTTGATGATAAACGGTATATATTAGATGATGGTATAACAACTTAGCTTATGGTCATTATAATATGATTCAAATAACTAAATATTAACAAACAGTTATAATGTGTAGTAAGCATGTAGCGTGGGCCTCTGTTAGAGTAAAATCATACATACCTGCTCCTCATGTTTGACTACATATCACATAACTGTTTGTAATAAGTAATTAATACAAAAGCGATATACAAAAGAATTCAAAATCCTGAAACAATTATTAAAAACACTTTTAACAAAAATTATATAAAACATATAGATTCCATATTTTGTAAAGAGCATCTATGACATTGTTGCGCTCAAAATTTCAGGCTTAGTTGCCTGAAATTCTTCGCCCCTAACAACGATTTAAAAAGATGCTTTATTAACACTTGATTTTACCCACTGTCGCGATTTAGCTTCGCTAAATCAACAGGGCCTTGTTAACACTTGATTGTAAAGACTGTTTGTAAAATTTAAACGCACCTATATATTTCAAAAACATATAGATTCCATATTTTGTAAAACATTGTATTATTATACATGCGCTGATGAAATGTGCTATTACATTAAACAACCATTGTTGAAAAACATGCACTAAGACACGCGCGCTGCTAAAAACCAGCTATCGCTGATACTGATATTTTAATAACACTTGATTATTAACACTTGATTATTAAAGACGGTTTTTTTAAGAGCATTTCTTAAGCCTCTGTTATTCTCGAATATTCTTCGAATATTCATCGAATCTACGGGGGAACCCCGAATTTTTCACTTCGTGAAAAATTTTCCCCACCTGGGTTCCAGCATTCTCGGGGGATCCATTCCCCTGCTCGATCACTTTGTGATCTGCGCTGCCGATCCCCCTCCGAACCGATGCTTGTTAACATTTGTTTGTAAAGACCGTTTGTAAAATTTGAACGCACCTATATATTTAAAAAACATATAGATTCCATATTTTGTAAAGATGTTTTATTAACACTTGATTTCTAAAGATAGTTTTTAAAGAGCATATATTAAGCCTCTGTCGTCCTTCGGACCCACGGGGGCGAGCCGAAAATTCTAGCTAAAGCTAGAATTTTTTACCCACCAGGCTCGCATGAATTCTCGGCGATCCCATCCCCCTGCTCAATTTTAGCTACGCTAAAATTTGCGCTGCCGGATCGCCTCCGAACTGATGCTTTCTTAACACTTGATTTCTAAAGATAGTTTTAAAAACATATAGATTCCAAATTTTTAAACGACAGATTGTAACCTCGAGATTTTTACCCCCTTTTGAAATAATGACTTTTTTACATGGCCTTTTACTGAGGGACGCCTTTGAAACATGGCCTTTTTCACACTACTTTGAAAATAATGATTTTTCACACAGCTTTTTTACATGACCTTTTACTGAGGGACGCCTTTTGAACCATGGTCTTATTTTGCGCTGTTATAAAGATCATTTTTACTTAGTAGTATATATACATGGGTGTAGGGATAAAAAAGTAAACTTTTTTGATCCCTACCCCATGTACTATACTCAACCTGTATACTAAGAAAGTGCAAATCTATTTCCTTTAAAATCTCATCCTCTATTATCTTATCAAGACAATCAATCAAATCATTCTGAATATCAGGAGAGACTCCAGTAAACCGCCCTCCCCAGCAAGGTGGGTTTCAGCAAGCCTGCCATGTAATCGCCTTCAAAACAGAATCCATCTTGGCAAACTTTCAAGTAGCTCTCTATAATTTCCTCTATTCAAGCTTCCACTAGATTCATCATGCCCCCTAAATGCAAGCTCTTGCCTAGACAGACAAGTATAAAACAGCTTCTGTTATGGTTTTCAACATTTCCCTGTTTTGCCTTACCTCCTCGTTATGACGCTGAATCTCTTCACGTCTGGCTTGTGACATGAGACAGTCGACACGAGGCTGAAAACCGTATGTCCTCCAGGTCTTGTAAGCACCCATGTGCGATTTTGCCTTCTCATGCTTCTTACAATCGGATAGGAAATTCTTCATGTTTTTGAATCCCGTCTGCGTCCATGAAGATGACGATCCAGGGCAAAACAAAAGACAAGGCCAACAGAACAATGCATTCTTTTCTGAGCTACCACAAAGCCAATCTTTCTTCGAGTACCAACTTTCCTGAAAGCTTCTATTGCCTGTAGTCGCTTGTAAATTTGGAATTGGCCGCTGCTTTACGAGTATATTTCGCTCGCCTGATTGTCGAACAGAAAATGGTTTCTTTTGTAGTTCACTTATTATATCGATTTCATTAGCCGAAGCCATTGTAATGTAACTTATCACGATTTCCGAACGTATATTTCGAAAGCTCAAAATTCAAGTCACGCTTTTGAAAATGAGCCCGACTAGATGTTGTTAAACGTTTGAGTGTGTTCACAGCTACTCTCAACCAATCAGATTACAGATATTCCCACTATAGATTTTACTACTTGGTCGGGCTGAATTTTCAGAGCTCGACTAGATGTTGCGAAACAGCGCATTTGAGTTTGCTCGGTTGCTGTCAACCAATCAGATTGCAGATAAACCCACTATAGATTTTACAACTTGGTCGGGCTGAATTTTCAGAGCCCGACTAAACTGCGTAATGCCTGGCACTAGAAATGCACTAGTCATTGTTGCTAAGTAACGTTTAAAAATATGATAATTTTGCTAATAACGACGCAATTTGACAAATATTACACTAATAGACTGTGGATTATTCCAAAAAGAGTCGCAGAATTTAAAATTTTCGCAAATCCAATTTTAAAGAAAACAAATTTTTCATTTTTGGGAAAATATTTGGTCGGGCTGGGCCCGACCAGCCAGACCGCAAGCTACGCCACTGCATATGCAACCACGCGATTTTACAGTTCTGCTTTCGATCAATGGAAGAAAACTTACAATAGTTATCCCGCTTTATTTACGACATACAGTGCAAATCGAGAAGATAAAAAGGATGATTGTTAGGAGACAAAAAAACAACTCAGAGGTCAAGATTTTGCCATAGATCTATGTGGAATAATTGATGTGTTTCAACCAGTTGTTTCGTTAATGATCAAATGTCAGAGCTTAAACGTGCCTCCCTGGAAAGTTGTTGCTTGGTTTCCGATAGTCATTGATATCTTGGAGGATATCAGGATAGAATTAAAGCGACTTAAGGACGGAGATGTTGTAAAACCAGCTGAAAAGTTGTTGCCAAGACTTGCAAAACATTGGCAAGAATTAACAAAAGAAGAAGTTGAAGAATGTTTGTTTCAAGGAATACAAGTCTACGAAGGATGGCTCGTAGTCAATGACAGTGAGCAACTCGTGGAAGGACCGTCTACAGACAAGACTGGGAAACAACATAATAAAAAGACTATTTCTTGGGAGGCACGATCACCAAATGATTGCCTAGATGGTCTTTATCAACTCACAGAAGATAATCCAATGTGTCTGGCATCCCGCTACAAAAACATTAAGATCGACAACATCACTAAGTTAGAAGCTGTGTTTGACATTGAGGGACTAATAAAGCTTCTTTATCATTTTTCTCACGCGAATGGGCGGATCAAAGTCAGCAGGGCTGGAAGACATCTTTGGGATCTTCACGGGAAAAGGGAGTTTGCCGATTTTTTCAAGTATATTTTGGGAATATTTATCTTGGCCTTACTATGTGTAATATCTTTATCACATGACACTCTTACCTAATATTTCTACATCTTCATGTTTTAGGAATGTTTGCCAATTGCCTCATGTCATGCAGCTACTAGACGACCAACCATTACTGAAACTGTTGCCGCATAACAGTGATAGTTTCTTGGAGCAATTTCAAGAAACTGTGATGAGAATGGTCTGGGAAGGTCTTGGTAATTGTCGTTCGTATATGTTCATCGATGAAAAGGACCAACCAGTGACAGAATTTGAAAAGGAGCAGCTAATTTACCTTAAATGCATTGAGGATCCTGCACTAGATTTGTGGTTTACTCTGAAATTTTCTTCGGGAGAGGCAGTGAAAGCAAGGATCAACGAAGAATTTGTGTACACCAGCATGTACACAAATGAAGATATAATAAAGTCAATTGGCCGAGAAATATGAATTGCCCTTGACGTAGCTCTTTCCACAAGTGGTTGTGAGGCTATAGTAGAAGGATTTTATAGTCTTATGAGTACTCACAAGAAAACTGGAGGCCAATCTAATGAGGTTTTGGTTCATACATCTATAGTAGATTGGTGCGTTCCCCATCCCGTTTCATGTCCTCGTACCATGAGAGCCATTGCAGAAATTTATACAAACGATGATGAAGACTATAAGCTACCAAAGCATCTGCTACCATATTTTAACGAAGACAGAGCTTCAAATTTTGAAGTGAGCAAAGTTGTGGATAGAGTGAGGCATGAGCCTCCTCGATGTCCACATGTTTTGCATGAAAATGATTTTGGTGAACTATGACGGAGTTGAACTCACTCAAGGATTTATAGTTTTAAATGCGATATTTTATCTTTTAGTTTTTACTTTATCTGTACACTGTAAATGTACACTGTAATTGTAAATGCTTGTTGCCATTGTAAACTATTCAACAAACACGCAAGAGCTTAAACAATGTTAACTACTGCGTTATTTCAGGAATACTCAGCACCGCATGCATCATCGAACTACCCAGCCACGCCCACAAATATGGCGGAATTTTGCCACGCCCACAAATATGGCGGAATTTTGCCACGCCCAAATATGCCTGGTGTGCAATAATATTATTAAAAAAAATCTCCGGTGTGCAGAAGACTACTTTCAAACCTGGGTCGATAGTATCTTTAAAATTGCTCAGTGTATGATTTGTACTTTTTTATACGTGGCAAACAGTTATTTTTTAGTTTCAATCGCTTGTTCATGTTCTTCTTGAGTTATATGTATATATGTTATGGAGAAATCTATGTCAACATGTGCAATGAATATAATGTACTGCTGTGTTCAGGAATGTTGCTTTACTAAATGATCGCTTTATGATTTTGATCTATTCTAGAGGAAATAAACGCTGTTCAAGGAAATGAAAAATCTACAGGGTAAGTTTAATTATGTAAAGTTGTCCAATTTTCTTTCCAATTTTCCAATTTTAACATGACCAAAATGAGTTATTAACCTTGAATCAAATTCACAGTTATATCCAGACTACGCATGCGCACAAATTTACTAAGTTTTATTGTTCAAAAGTTAGATTTATAAACTAGAATGTTGGTTTGATTTATTTATAATAAAATCTTCAGGAATGTTTCTTCTGCAACTCTACCTCCACTACCTGGTCAGCAAACTTTCATTACAGCAGATCAATATTTTCTTCCTTTTGAGTTGGCTTGTCAAACAAAATGTGCCAGGATTGTCACCATTGCACTTGACTGTATACAAGTAAGTTGTTTTTGTTTGATGTGTTAGGACACTTGGAGTCTTTAGTTGTAAGAAATAGATTTAATATTATAAACTCTTTCATTATATTGTTATTAAGTTATTACAATTTGATAGCATAAAATAAGTTCCTGCAGTATTTTCTTTTGTTTGTTACTTCATAAATTTCTTTTAAAAAGTGTTAATATTGTTATTCTTATGTATCAACAGTACTCATCCCCAAAGCCTCACAACTTCACATGTGTCTTTTCACCACCATTTTGTATTCCTTCACAAATATAGGTCATGTATTTTGCTTCTATAAATTGGAGTATTTCAAACATTCTTTGTTCTTAGAAACTCATTGCTTATGGTCAAATTGTTGGCGATACACCAGACTCCATTGAACCAGAGAGGCTTTTAAATGACAGAATTATCAAGACTATTTGTACTTGCTTTACAGGTATAAATACTGATGTAAACGTTCAAATACAAATTATAAAAGTATTTATAAAAAGTAATGTCAAACTGTTAAAGTATTTAATGAGAGAAATGATATATCCTTGAGGAATTTAAAGACGGTAATGACATATGTATCCCTATGTTTTTTTACATTTTTTGTACCATGAGTTTTTTAAATATCACATTGAATAATTGGATTCCAACAAGATTAAAAATGGCTATGTGTTAACTGTGGACAGTTGAAAATGATCTGATTTTTATAATGTGTATGTTTTTATTATCTATATTTACAGGCTCTTCTAACAGCTGTTACATCAAGTACGTGTGAAGTTCATGAAGGAACTTTACTTCAACAGTTAGAACAGTTTACAACATTTACCTTGCCAGTAAAAGTCTTATTAGTCAAACAACAGCAAAGACAACACTGTCGCAAATGATAAGTCTTGTGTTTCAGAGAATGGAAAGTCAAGCTGTAAGTTTTGTTCTGATGAACAAAATATTTTTGTATCATAATGTACATCAATATACATGTCAATGTCGATGATATTGTATCATATTGTACATCAATATACATGTCAATGTTGATAATATTGTATCATATTGCACATCAATAGTCATGTCAATGTTGATAATATTGTATCATATTGTACATCAATTGACATGTCAATGTTGATAATATTGTATCATATTGTACATCAATAGTCATGTCAATGTTGATAATATTGTATCATATTGTACATCAAATGACATGTCAATGTTGATAATATTGTATCAGATTGTACATCAATAGTCATGTCAATGTTGATAATATTGTATCAGATTGTACATCAATAGAACTGCTTGTTTCCTTGATTCTTGAATAGTGGTTTAACCTTTGCTATTTTCCATTGTGAGGGAAATGTACAAGTTTCAATACAGTGATTTATAATTTTAGCTATGGAGCATGATATTTCAGGCGCTGCAATCCTTAGAACTCTGCCACCAAACCCATCGATTCCCGTGGCTTTGTGTGCAGGTATACTTAGAAGATAATAGTTAACCTCACTAGGAGTTATTTGCGGAATAAGATTCTCAATTTGACTGTTAGATTTGTCTGGTGGACCAGGAAGAGCATCATAATGAAGTATAGGTGCCGCTTTTATAAGACGTTTATATACATCAGCGAAGAAGCGGTTAAAGCTTTCAGCGATTGAATGGTCATCCTTTATCAGGTTGTTGTTTTCGTCAGCAATAGGGACGGAGTCGTCATTATTCCTTGTATCTTTAGATAGGTCTTTAATTAAAGACCAAAGTTTCTTTGGACATTTTTGATTTTTACTGAACTGAGTTTTAAAGTGCTGTTCCTTCGCATTTCTTAGTTTCCTCGTCACCTTGTTTTTAATCAGTTTAAAAGCAGACCAATCTTGTTCATTTTGTGTTCTCCTGGCCCTCTTTAGAAGATTATGGCGTTTATTTATTTCGTTGTATAGATCATTAGTGAACCATTTCGGCTGATTGATTTTCTTCACACTCTTCAACTTTAAAGGTGCGTGATTATCAAGAATGTCATTAAAGATTTTGTACCAAGATTCAACAATGTTATCGGCATCTCGAAAAACAAAGGAGATATCCCAAGGGGCTTCTCTTAAGTCTCGCAGAAAGCACTCTTTGTTGATTTTGTCGATATTTCTGTATTTGATTTTGGAATGTTGTTTACGTTGTGCATCCATGGTTTTGTAGCACCTCAAGATGGTGACCGGAAGGTGATCAAAAGACTGACTCTGAAGATGACTACCGTTAAGGTTGTCGAAAAATGACTCTGAAGATGACTACCGCTAAAGTTGTCGAAACGTCAGTCAACAACAACAAAAACAGTCCTTCTCAGAACCATACCAACCTGTACGATCTACATTTACAAACATGAAACGATACTCCCGGGTTCAAACCATTTACTTTATCCCAATAATATCTCACCGAAGAGAAGGAAAACGATAGCAAACTTCCATACTTCAATTTTTAGAATTTAATACCAGAGAGCAATGCTCAATTAAGATAAGTGTAATACCAGAGAGACAATTGTGTATGAAGTACGTACTTTCTAGTAACACAATTCCGGTAATTAGATTCCGGTAATAGAACGAGACATGTTGATGGTTTACAATTCAAATGGTTGCATCAATAGGATAGTTCATTATGTTCAATCGCTGTACATCACTGTGTGTGACGACGGTGTTTTGATGACTTCAGAAGTACAAACCTTGAAAGACCTAAAAACGTAAGATCCCAATTTTCTCTCGAATATCACTATCCAGAGGCAATGTTCCATATTTTCTTAGGTAATGTAAGACAATATTTCCAAGGTTGTGTTCATGAGAACGTTGAAAACGAAACAGAGATAAACTGAGTAAGGCATAAAGTAAATCCTATAATATTTACGATTCTGGATCGGCCGTATCCTGCATGCTTCATTGCAGACGTAATTTTTTGAGCTTAGGTGAATTTATTCCGAAGATATTTCGATTTCAAAAACTTTGTTGTGAAGTTGATTTGATTGTTTGATTAAACATGACGATAGTTCTTATTGAATACAAACCACCGGCGTAAGTATTTTTACATAGTTATTGGACACAGGAAATGACTTAACAAGCTCAACTTGCCAATCAGTCATCATCTTCTTGAAAAGTCTTAAAATAAATTGTCCATCATAGGTTTCTTATGCATCCATATAAAGTTGTGTGGTATTGGAGACTGGTTTTGGAATGAAGAAAAACACTGGGAACGTCAGCTTTTCTCTCTTTCCACCTTGTGGTACAGTTTGTCAACTGATACCTCCTAAATTTTTTGTTTCCGTCAATGACCCATACGAATTTCTCGATGCGAAACAAAGCACTGTCGCCCCACAAGGCCATAATTTGTCTATATCTCAGAATTGCTTTCAAAAACAAAATTTTTCGCGAAAGCCGCTCAAGACATGACATTGCCTTAATCAGTGTCTGTTTTTTAATGAAAGATAGAGTGAGAAGTATGGTGTCAATTATTTTTCTGCTTCACCAGCCATTGCTTATGATAATTCGAGTTTAACCTATCAAAAGGTTGCATGTAATAGCTATATTATAAAGGCGATCCGACCACTAGTGTTTCTCCCCAGAATAACGAACGCTAAAATATAGATACCTCAATGCAGCACTTGCCAATCATTTAGGCAAAAAATGAAGGCATATTCAATGACAACACCTTATTATGTAGTACATTAAATGAAAATCAATAGCACAAAACAAATGTCGATGAAATTTATTGAACACTTATTATAACTCTTAAACAAGTATTTACAATATGGATGACACGCAGCAATTCTGCCTTTGCATGTGAAATTTTTTTGAGTGATAAATTGCAAGTCCTTTTTTTACAGTGAATGGTTTGAGCGTGGGAGTATACTTAGATGTTTTTTAGATGTAGATCGTCCATGTTAGTAGAGTCTTGAGGAGGACTGTTAGTGTTAACATTGACTGTCGTTTCGACAGCGTTAGCGCAGTAGTCATCTTCAGAATCAAGTGAGGAGTAAAAGTCAGGTTTACCGTATTTGTTGTCCGGTTCATACACCATCGTATTGTGCATGCAGAGGTAATTTGTACATGTCAATTGTGTATTTCGGATTAGTCTAGATATGATTAACCCACTTCTTGATTGCACTTCTTCGAATTGAATGCACCTGGAACTGTCAGCTATTAAATAACGTTTGGATAGCATGCTAATTATAGATGTTGAATGTGTGGAGTCTAATAAGCAGCTTCAGACTGTTTAACAAAACACAGATCTTCCCCCAAGAAACTACATAGTGTCTTCGAAAATGGATACATTCTATTAGGTAAAACATTATCTCGAAAAAGAATTAAAAGCTAGATGAGTAATGTCAAGGTTACCTGAAATTATGTTAATGATGGGAAGGTGTAGAAAATAGAATGGAATTTTGTTTGTTGGGCACATAGTCGTTACAGTGCGCGATGTAAAAGGAAGATAAAGATAAAGTGCTTACGAAAACCTAAGTGTTCTTAAATATGGGCGTAAGAATATCGTTAGTTTTTTTGGGTTTTTTTAAGGGGGGACATATCAATTAATTATACGTAATGTTAAGTTCTTTTGAAATCCAGTGTTTTCAAAGGCTTATAACATGCATACATGAAAATGACCCCAGTCTTCCTACGCCTGCATGTTCTCATATGCTGCAAATTAGCTAATCTTGGCTTGTTTTGGGAAGATTGCTATCGAGTGAGTAATACAACATTGAGATTGTTTTGTGGTTGCACCTAAGATCTTTTTCAAAACAGTTTTCTAAGAATTTCTATTTGACACGTCACGAGTTTTATTTAAATGTCTAACGCAGTATGGGCAAAGTGAGAACGAAATCATGTTTTTGAAAAAAACCTGTTATCTGTATATGTTTTTTGTATTTGCGATAGTTTTCATTCTTATTCATTATCATTATAGCTATTCGTAACTTTTCTCAATATTGTTTATTTTTTGTTGTTAGATTATTAAGAAAGTTGACAGCCAAAACCTAAGGATATGCTATAAAGTACATTTAGTCGTTAACTTTTTACTGGAATGTTTAACTTATTACTGGAATGTTTGCAATGATAAAGTCGACTTTGGAGTGATCATATTTTTAGATTGCAACCCACCTCCATGTAATTATCAAACATTGTGGCTCGCTCACAAATGCTGGTGCACACAATAGTAGATAAAGTGTTTTTATTTTACTTGACCGCCAACATGGCGTAATGACATGACATTCAAATCACCTATTTTGCTAGGAGCAGTTAAAGTGACACTGTGACGAAAAATTCAGTCAAAATTTTATTACAATTTATAAAATGAAGAGTTGGTTAAGCATACTCTCCAAATTTTAGCGGAAAATTCCATCATAATCCAGTTTTTTTTGTATTCAAACCTGCTATTACTCGGTTGCCATTACTGAGCTATCATTAAATAAATTTTGGCACTCTATTTTTCAAATTATTTCATTTCACTATAGTTCAGAAACACATATAGACTTCAAATTGTCTTCTGAGCCTTTTCTTAGCAAAAACGCTTACACAGACGAAGTTTATTATGTTTATACTTAACCTGCATGCTGCAGCTACTTCTTCTGAGCATATAAAATATTTGCAAGATTTAAGCATGCGATAGCATAAGCAAGAATTAAGAATTATCTTTGATTATCTGCTGAATAGAGTGTTAACCTTTATACGTGTATAAAATGTGGCTGGAACTTAGAATTTGTCGTGAAACATAGAGTCAATTGTACGGTGTTATGTTGAGTATTCTGTATATTATTGTATAAATACTCGAGTGTTAACAAGCTTTATACGTGTATAAAATGTGTCTCAACTGGAACTTAGAATTTGTCGTGAAACATAGAGTCAATTGTACGGTGTTATGTTGAGTATTCTGTATATTATTGTATAAATACTCGAGTGTTAACAAGCTTTATACGTGTATAAAATGTGGCAACTGGAACTTAGAATTTGTCGTGAAACATAGCGTCAATTGTACGGTGTTATGTTGAGTATTCTGTATATTATTGTATAAATACTCGAGTGTTAACAAGCTTTATACGTGTATAAAATGTGGCAACTGGAACTTAGAATTTGTCGTGAAACATAGAGTCAATTGTACGGTGTTATGTTGAGTATTCTGTATATTATTGTATAAATACTCGAGTGTTAACAAGCTTTATACGTGTATAAAATGTGGCAACTGGAACTTAGAATTTGTCGTGAAACATAGAGTCAATTGTACGGTGTTATGTTGAGTATTCTGTATATTATTGTATAAATACTCGAGTGTTAACAAGCTTTATACGTGTATAAAATGTGGCAACTGGAACTTAGAATTTGTCGTGAAACATAGAGTCAATTGTACGGTGTTATGTTGAGTATTCTGTATATTATTGTATAAATACTCGAGTGTTAACAAGCTTTATACGTGTATAAAATGTGGCAACTGGAACTTAGAATTTGTCGTGAAACATAGAGTCAATTGTACGGTGTTATGTTGAGTATTCTGTATATTATTGTATAAATACTCGAGTGTTAACAAGCTTTATACGTGTATAAAATGTGGCAACTGGAACTTAGAATTTGTCGTGAAACATAGAGTCAATTGTACGGTGTTATGTTGAGTATTCTGTATATTATTGTATAAATACTCGAGTGTTAACAAGCTTTATACGTGTATAAAATGTGGCAACTGGAACTTAGAATTTGTCGTGAAACATAGAGTCAATTGTACGGTGTTATGTTGAGTATTCTGTATATTATTGTATAAATACTCGAGTGTTAACAAGCTTTATACGTGTATAAAATGTGGCAACTGGAACTTAGAATTTGTCGTGAAACATAGAGTCAATTGTACGGTGTTATGTTGAGTATTCTGTATATTATTGTATAAATACTCGAGTGTTAACAAGCTTTATACGTGTATAAAATGTGGCAACTGGAACTTAGAATTTGTCGTGAAACATAGAGTCAATTGTACGGTGTTATGTTGAGTATTCTGTATATTATTGTATAAATACTCGAGTGTTAACAAGCTTTATACGTGTATAAAATGTGGCAACTGGAACTTAGAATTTGTCGTGAAACATAGAGTCAATTGTACGGTGTTATGTTGAGTATTCTGTATATTATTGTATAAATACTCGAGTGTTAACAAGCTTTATACGTGTATA